CCTGGGGGCACTCCTCGAGCCGGCTCGATCCGCCAGGGTAGGGGGGGCCACAATGCGAACCCGAACCCCCTGCCCCCCACGATTTCTCTGAGGGTGAGGGTGGGGTCCACCTCGGTCGGGAGCACCCCGAGCGAAGCGAACCCCACCCTCACCCTCAGAAATCGTGGGGGGGCAGGGGGCAGGCTTCGCATTGTGGCCCCCGACGGGGCCCCGAGGTGCCGGGCGAGGAGGCCCCGCGCGACGGGCGAGAGAGCGCGGCGCCCAGAGCTCGGCGAGCACGGAGCACGGCCTCACCAGCGGTGCCTCGGTCTCCCCGCTGCCCTGCCCGGGTGCCCCGGCCCTGCTCCTCGGGCCCCGTGGTCCCTGCCTGGATGTTGCCCGGTGCTGCTCCCCGCCTTCCCGTCTCGGGCTCCCCGGTCGTGCTCCTCGCGTGCTCCAGCGGTCTCGTTCCCGAGGCTCCTCGGCCTTTCCAGGATGCTAAGCCATGCCGAACACTGCCAACCAAGCAGCACCAAGCAGTGCAGCGCCAAGCAAGGCCAAGCAAGGCCCAGCAATGTCAAGCAATGTGAAGCAGCGAAAAGCAAGGACCAGAGACGGAAAGCAATGCCAAGCAATACGAAGCAACGCCAAGCCATACCACGCCTTGCAAAATGATACCACGCAATGCCAATCAAAGCAAAACAAAGCCATGAAGTGCAAAGCAATGTCGAGCAATGCCAAACAATGCTAACAAGTAAGCCAATGCCATGTAGCGGCAAGCAATGCCAAGCAATACCGAGCGACGCCAAGCAAAACCAACCACTGAAAAGCTGAGACTAGTCAACGCCAAGAAACGGCAAGCAGTGAAGCGATACCAAGCAGCGCCAAGCGACACCAGGCAACGAAAAGCAACGCAACGCCGAGCAGTGCAAAGCAACGCCAGGCAATGCAGAGCGATGCCAAGCAATGCCGGGCAATGTGCCCAAGCGGCGGGCAAAATAGCCGTCGAGTACAGTCGAGGCGTTGACCTAAGGAACCCTAAATAAGGAACGAGGCCCCTTTTTCCCGTAAGTTCAACCTCAAGTTCCCATGGGAAACCTCAGGAAAACCAAAGGCAAACTTTGAAACAATCAGGGAACACCGAGCCCCTCCCCAACGAAAAGGGTTCCTTCTTCAGCGCCCCGACTGTACCTTCTGAGAACACTTTCCTTGCCTAGTTTCTCCCTCAAGGAGCTCTCCGCACATCGGGGCTGCGCCGGGTTTATTTCTCTCTTTCCTCACGGAGTTCTGCTCTGCGTGGTCACGAGCGTCAGATCCACCGCGAGTCCCTCAGCGAGGGAGGCGATCACCGACGTCAGGTACAAGACGTTCGGCACACACAGGACCGGTCGGTCCTTCTGGCTGACCATCGTGTGCGGGACAGCCCCCATCAGCACGTTCTGGTGCTGTGGGAAAAACGCGCCCGGGCGCCACTTGACGGCCACCATCCTTAGAAGACGGTTAGCCAGCGTGGACCCCAAACAGTGTGTTTCTATCAATATGTATATATGTGTGTGTGTTGCCATCTACGTAGTGCCATCTGTGTGGCGCATTTTTCTTGTGGCATCCACGTGGTGCAATACATACTGTTCATTATAGATTGTGCAAGCTTTGTGGTGCAGTCTGCGTGGTGCGAACTATGTGGTGCAATCGATATTGTGCAGCATATGTGGTGGAACCTATGTCGTGCAATCGACGTGGTGCAATATAAGTTGTGCAATCGACGTGGTGCAGCATACGCTGCGCGGACCGTTTAGTGCAATCTATGCGATGCAAATCACCCTGCCGAACTTGAAGGTGTCAGCTCCATTGCTCGCGTAATCATCCCACCCGTCCACCCGCAACTCGGTTTGCAAAACCCATGCGGCGGCGATCGCCATGACTGCATGGCGTTGGCTGGCGCATTGCTGCGGCCACGCTGTCGCGCGCAGGCTCGCGCGCAGAGCAGCCAGCTACTGTGGCACGACCGACGCGGCCGCGATGGCGCTGACCGCTGGGCACTCCCTTGCGCATCTCGCAAGCCGCGCTGACGCGCGGGCACTTCGGTGCGAGTGGGTGACTCGGGAGCACGCAGCATCGTGGCGACGTCGACAACGACAGCCACGATGATTATAGTAGCGATGCTAGTGATGACGATGACGCTGACGACTGCAAGGCCAATGACGGCATCGATGCTGATCACGCCGATGACGATGATGGTGTCCACGTGTCGGTGATGAAGGTGTTGAAAGGGTTTCGACGTGAACGCGCGGCCGACGGGCGCGAGCGGCCCGCATGATACTAGCTGACAGGGATCGTGTTCCCCCAGCACGCGCGCAATGGCATTCGAAAAATTTCGGCATGCGCGCGCGAGAGGCCTGCTTGGTCGCATGAAATGAAAAGTTGACAGTTATAGTGTCCTGAAGAACTCGCAAAGGCGCGCGCGTTGCTGAAAGTGCATGTTGCAAAACGATGTGCTTTTATATGTATCGGGGCACTCGCT